TGCCATCATAATTAAAATTATTTATGTGTTCTTTTTCTACCCATTTAAATATTTCCCTTGTTCTTTTGGGAATCTTAGCTGTTGATTGTTGGAAATCTTTAAAGCAGTCTCTAATAATGGTTTTTAAGTTTTTATCTCTTGTTGGGATACAGTTTCTTTTACAGAGATTTTGTCGCCACTCTGTAGGAGAATTTATTAGTAGTTTTCATGGTTCATTTTCTTGTGTTTTAATTTAAAAAGTCCCACATATTCAGATCATGATGATATTTTCATACATTACAAAAATTTTTAAAGTTATGCCTTTTACAATGGTCTCTAATTCATCAGAAAATTATATTTTGTTTGTGTATTGTATTATGGATCCAATTTCTTTTTTTCTTTTTTCTTTCCTCCTCCCCTCCCCCTTTATAGAGATAGCCAGTTAAAATTACAGTGCCATTTCTTTACATTTTAGGTAAATATATGTTAGGGTGAAGGCTAAGTTACTGTATTAAATGCAGAACATAGTGTTATAAATAGACAAGTTTATTTCTCATAAGCTAAAGTCCTGCTGGTTTAAGAAAATGGTATCAGTCTCCTTGATGAGGTTATTCACTGCTCCAGCTTTCTTTCACCTTGTTGCTTCATTATTTTCTAAGCTTTTGTTCTTGTCTGCATGGTCTAATAATATATAATTGTGCTGTTTATTTTTTCCTATGGCTGTTCTCACACTGAGGTTTGTCTGTTCTTTTGTTTAAAACTCAATTTTGTTTTTTATTGATCCTTTCAGTGTATCATTGCCATCCGTAGTCTGTATTTTTATTGCGTTGTATGAGTTAGTGCTTCCCCACAGCTTCTGGTAGGTAGCTAGTACCCAGTGCACGTCTCCTTGGCAGCACCTCTGTGTTTAAAGAAATACTGAGTACCTGCTTTTCTGAGAATCTAGCTTTTCTCATGAACTTGATGTTGGTTGGCATCCTTGCCCCCATGACTTTTAGCTCTCCAGAGAAGAAAGTCTTTGGGCAGTTCTCAGTCCTGAAACCTAACAGAGCCTAGGGACTCTAGTCAACATACCTCAGTCTTCAGTTCTTGCTTGCCTTCTGGGTAGCTTCAGCAGGCCTTCTACCTGGGTGTGGTAGATGGTACTTAGAAACCTTTCAAATACTGGAATGAATATAAAATGTCATTTAATTTTTCTACTCATACTATTTTTTACACCTATTTTTTTTCTTTTACATGCAGATCGTATCTTTGCATATTAACATTTTCCTGATTTGTGGGATGTTCACTTCTCACGAAATGGTTATTTTTGTTACACAGGAGAAAAAGTTTCGTGGTCAGATTTAAAAAAGGACACCAGTGTCTATCTTAACACTTAATTTCCTTTTTTAATTGAATCTACCATCACTTGACATCCATCTTAGGTGAATTTTGAGAATACATATTTTTAGTAGAGATTGTTAATCCAAATTTAAGTTTTAATTCAGTTTGTTTCAGCAGTCACTACTGTGGAACATCTATCAATCACTATTTTGTTGAGTCATTTGTTTTTTTTTTTTTAAGATTTTATTTATTTATTTGACAGAGATCACAAGCAGGCAGAGAGGCAGGCAGAGAGAGAGGAAGGGAAGCAGGCTCCCTGTAGAGCAGAGAGCCCAATGCTGAGCTTGATCCCAGGACCCTGGGATCATGACTTGAGCTGAAGGCAGAGGCTTTAACCAACTGAGCCACCCAGGAGCCCTGAGTCATTCAATTTTTATCTCTCTTCCAGCTTAAGTGTCTATGCCAAGATAGATCAAGTAAAACTGTGCCATCAGTTAATGTGGAAACATTAATATTTTTAGTACAATAGAATCACTTATTTTGAGCATAAAACTGGTGAGCATTATACTCAGTGGAAAGACCAACATAATTAAAAAAAAAGTTTATAAACATTTTCAGTAATTTTGGTAATATCCAGAATTTCAAATAACTTGATATTCTGCTGACTCAGATATGAAGGCTGTTAAACCTGCTCTTGTAGCAGCATGTGTGAAATCATTTGAGGGAGAAAAAAAGCCCACAAATAAAGGATTTTTTTTCCTTTTTCTTTAAGAAATCAACAAGATTTGTCATTCCTATTTCCTACATACTTCCTACATACATTGTAGGAAGGAGAGGGTGTCCTGCATGCATCACATCAGGATTACAGGCTTTCTTTTATACTTCAGTAGATCTAAGATTCCTCACTCCTCATCTCCAGACTTATGAATCCACTGGGATGGAAGCATTTTGACTCACACATCTAAAAAGCAAACTGATAAGATGTATTGAAAAGAATTCAGGTATACTTTTGAAAAGTATGGGAGTCTTTGTTTTTTGAGAACTAGGGAAATTGTTAATAAGCATTCATTCACTTATTTAGTCAACAATTACATGTGCGCCCTGTGCTTGGTTGGCACTTGGGAATATTATAGTGAACACTGCCCATGTGGGCCAGGCATGCTGTCTGGTAATCAATGTTTGTGTATCATAACATTTAATCCCAAGGATTTTGATATAAATGTTCTCTCCATGTTATGAATGAGGAAGCTTAGGATAGTTAAGTAATTTCCTAGTTACATAGCTGGTAGGTGGAAGCTAAACTATGAGCACCTTTTCTTAATGCTGTATTGGCATTCTTGGCTGTAAAAACAATGAAAATTAGGATATTCTCTCACATCAGTCCAGAAAAAGAAAAAAATCACGTGATAATAGCAATAGATGCAGAAAAAGCATTTGACGGAATCCAGCATCCATTTATAAAAGCTAGAAGTAGTTTCCAGTTTTAGGAGAACTTCCTCAGCTTGATGAAAAAACGTCTACGGGGCACCTGGGTGGCTCAGTCGATTAAGCGTCTGCCTTTTCAGGTCATGATCCCAGGGTCCTGGGAGGGAGCCCTGCATCGGGCTCTCTGCTTGGCAGGGAACCTGTTTCTCCCTCTGCCTGCATTGCCTGCCACTCCCTGTGCTTGTGCATGAGCAATCTCTGACAAATAAATAAAATCTTTAAAAAACTCTACAAAGAAACTACAGCTAACATCATACTTAATGTGCAGAAACTCAGCACTTTGTAAGATTAGGTAGGAGGCAAGGACATTCCCTCTCATCAGTTCCTTTAAACATTCTATTGGAAGTTTTTGCTGATGTGGTAGGGCAAGGAAAGGAGACAAAAGGTATACAGATCAAGAAGCAAAACATAAAATTATTGTTCGCAGATGACGTGATAGCCTGTGTAGAAAATCTGAAAGAAATGACAAAAATTCTGGAACTAATGCACTATTGCAAGATACAAAGTTAATATACAAGTCAGTTGCTTTTCTATGTATCAGTGGTGAACAAATGCAGTTTGAAATGAAAAAAATACTTTTTTTTTTTTAAAGTGATAGAAGTGTATTAAGTGAAGATACAGAAAAAGCTCTCAAGAGTGAGAGGGGTCCCAACAGCATTGCCTAAAACACGATACTCTTGACCGCATCCCAGAAAATGAAATAGCTAGGTATTAATCTAACACAAAATATAGAAGATCTTTGTGAAGAAAACTACAAAATTCTGATGAATGAAATAAAACCCAAAGTAAGTGGAGAGATAGTCCATGTTTGTGGATAAGAAGACGCAATAGTGTCAAGATGTCAGTTCTTTCCATCTTGATCTATAGATTTAATGTAGTCCCATTCAGAATCAGAGCAAGTTATTTTGTGGATATCAGCAAGTGGTTTCTGAAGTTTCTGGGCAGGTTGTGGGGGGCACAGAAGATACAGAATAGCCAACACAATATTGAGGAAAAACAAGACTGTAGGTTTGACACTACCCAACTTCAGCACTTACCATGAAGCTACAATAATCAAGAGAATTTTTTTCTGGTGAAAAAAATAGACAAATAGGTCAGTGGAACAGAATAGAGAGCCCAGTGTAGAGCCCCCTGTAAATACAGTTGACTTATCTTTGACAAAGGCTCAAATGCAATACCATGGAGCAAATACAGTCTCATTAACGAATGCTGCTGGAAACAATTGGACATCCACTTGCAAAAGAATGAATTGAGACACAGTTAACGCTCTAAAGAAAAATTAATTCCATGGATTTAAGGTTTCTCCTAATATTTTCATGGTTTGATAGCCTGTTTTGTTTTACTTCAGAAAAATATCCCGTTGCCTGGACGTACCACCGTTTAGTTATTCATTCAGTCTACTGAAAGACTTTTGGTTGCACCCAAGTCTTGACAACTATGAATAAGGTTGCTATAAATATCTCCGTGCAGGTTTTTGTGTGTACATTGAATTTTCAGTTCCTTTGGGTAAATACCAAGGTGCACAATTGTTGGATTGTGTGGTAAGAGTATCTTTGTTTTATAAAACTTCCAAACTATTTTCTAAAGTAACTCCCCCTCACCAGGGATAGGGTTGGGGGAAGGATGAATAGAGCAGAGCATAGAGAATTTTTTTAGGGCAGTGAAAATACTGTATACAACACAGTAATGATAGAAATATGTCATTGTATATTTGTTCAAACCCATTGAATGTACAGATCAAGAGTGAACCCTCAGGTAAACTGAATTTTCATTGATTATGATGTGTCACTGCAAGTTGATCCTTGGTAATAACTACCACTGTGCTGGGAGGTTTTGATAATGAGGGACACAATGTATGTTTGGGGACCGGGAATATATAGAAATCTCTGTTGCTACCTTCTCATTTTTATTGTAAACCTAAAACTGCTCTTAAAAAATAAAAGCACAAAAAGAAAACATTTTTCTTGTTGATAGTGAACCAGTACTTAGGTGAAAGGAAAGAAGGAGAAAGTTTTGGCTTTGTGGAAAAGGGAGAAAGATTGACAATAGAGTTAATTTTTCTTTTTTAGGGGTTGAAATTTTAAGCTATTCCCCAATAGTATAACAGCTGACATTTGTTTTTCAGTGAATATTTGAAAAATATAGATAAGTGACAGGTTCATATTTTTAAAGTTAAAGATGTCTTATGCTAATGTGTTTTTGTTTTTTTATAGAGAGGATCTGACGAACTACTCTCAGGCAGTGTTCTCAGTAGTCCAAACTCTAATATGAGCAGCATGGTGGTTACAGGTAAGTGTTTCTTTCTCAACAGTGTTGCTTAATTATTTGCCATTTTATGGGGCAGAATATTAAAACTAAAATTTATAGTCTTTTATAAGAATACCCTTTTCTAATTTATGTTAAGTGTTTTAAATGTTTCTGTTGAAATGCTGCAGAGTAAAATTTTAATAGAGTATATATGTGTAAAAAATTGTGTAAAGTGTGTAAAGAATGTATTAAAGTAAAAAACCTAAACTTGGTGACTTCTGTGGGCAAGTACCTAAGTCTTACTGCCTTTTTTTTTTTTTAAGATTTTATTTATATATTTGACAGACTGATCACAAGTAGGCAGAGAGGCAGGCAAAGAGAGAGGAGGAAGCAGGCTCCCTGCTGAGCAGAGAGGCCGATGTGGGGCTCAATCCCAGGACCCTGGGATCATGACTTGAGCCAAAGGCAGAGGCTTTAACCCACTGAGCCACCCAGGCGGCCCCTTATTGCCTTTTTTTAATCACAAAAATATAAACCTTTTTCTTTCATGTTCTAAATCCTCCCATTCTTGCCCTTTTATACTTTTGTTTTTAGTTTTTGTGTTTGCGTGTCTTAGAATATTTTTTACATAGTCCTCACCACCCCCCTGCCCGCCCCACTTCCCTGAGGCATATGTTCCAAGACTCACAGTGGATGCCTGAAACTGCAGGTGGTATAAAACCCTAAATATACTATGCTTTTTCCTATACATACATACATATGATAAAGCTTAGTTTATAAATTGGGCATATTAAGAGATTAACAATAACTAAAAATGGAACAATGATAACAGTATAGTATTATGAAGGGTGTACTCACCCTTTGTCTTCCTAAGATGTGAGATGATGAAATGGTTGTGTGATAAGATGAAGCTAGGTGAATGATGTAGGTGTTGTGATACAGTGTTAAGGTACAGTATCTCAGAAGGTCTGCTTCTGGGCAGTGATTGACAACTGGTAACTGAAACCATGGAAAACAAAAGTACAGATAAAGGGAATTACTGTGTTTTAAGTATTCTGCATCCCACAAGCTCTAAAGCCCAACTAAATAAAAATAAAAAGATTCAGCTACATAGTTGTCTTTTTTTGTGTGTTTCCACCCTTTTTTTCTTTGCTCTAATAATATTTTAATTGTTTGAATTGAGTTCCTTAATGTTCTCTCCCTATGATCTTCATACTTAGGATATTTTTCTTGTATATGTGTGAAATAACATTGTTAGTTGCTTGTAATGTCTGTCTAAACAAATGTAAACTCTAGTTTAGTTTTATGGACCAGAATTTGAATCTGATGATGATGATGACGACGACAACTGAATTAGTTTACCTTATAACCCTGCATTTTACATTGTTTACCTAAAATCAGAGTTCCTTTCGTGAATTACTTGCTTGAGAAATTAATTGTATTGGGTAGTAAAAGGGTTGTAAAAGACTAGAAGCATTTTGATTTACTTTAGGTAGCTATTGCTTATGTTATGTACACTTCCGCACGCACATGCACATGCCTGGCAGTTCAGTTAATGAAGTACTTACCAAATACAGTCATAATGGTGTGAAAATGAATTTGCCCACACATCGTTATTATTGAGTTTTCCATGATTATAAAACAAAGTCACTAGGCCATAGTTTTTTGATAGTCAAAGTATGGTATACAAATAATTAAACAGGTTCAAATGTCTGTAATGCTGTTTTGCTAGTTTCATTTTTTTAAAACAATATATGTAGTGATGAATAGTTGAAACATTTTAAAAATTAATATGTAGGGCTATGACAGAATAACTGGTAATAGCCTTCCCTTCTCCCCCTGAGATGCCCTCCAAAATGAAAAACTATGAAATTGTATAAAGTATATTGGAAAACTGTTGTCTGGAATTAATGAACAGACAGTAGTAGATAATGATCTCTGAAAGAAGGGAATAAGATCATTATCACATGAGGTGAATTCCATAATCACTTTGGCTTTCTTCCTTGGGTTATATAGCACAGGAAAGGGGAATCTAAGGAGAGTACGGAAGTCTTACTGAGCCAGAAAGACAGATTGGAATTCAAAGCTGTTCAGACATCTGGGATTTGTGGAGAAGGGTCCTAGAAAAGGTAGCTGTCCAGAGGTTTAAGCATAGAGCAGGGATCAGAATTCAGTGTGGGGATTCATTTGATTGAGCATTTTTGAATAATAGCTGGGCTGCCTGTGTGCAGGTTGAGAACTCCGCATGGTTTGTCAGAACTGAGCTGCTTTGGGGCTGAGAGCTAGAGGTGGTTCCAAAAGGTTGTTTAGTGCTCTGAGACCTTAGAGTTCTGGAAAGTCAGAATGCAGACATCTTGGCGAGAAACTCAGGCATTTAATTTAGTCTTGTAGAGAATGGATCACACGCTATATTAAGTGCCAACCTTAAGACTAAGTTAAGAAACTGAGATAGTTTAGCCTGACAACACATTAAGGATCACCAGTAATTTTAATTGCTTGCCTAAACCAAACAGTACCCCCTAAGGAAGACATGATTCAGTCTTCATTTTGTGAACTGTCATTCATAATATCCACCATTGTCATTCACAATATCCACCATTAAAAATCACAGATTATGGAAAGCATGAACATTCCATAAAGTAGAGAAGCATTAAATAGGAGCAGACACCAAAATGATAGATAGTGAAATTAACAGACAAGGACTATAAATATTTTTAAAGCTGTAAAGGAAAATACTATGTAGTGAGTGAACACATAGAGGGATGTGTTAAGAGAGAAAAGAGAGGTAGCATATATAGAAATCTCTGAAATATATTTGAGATGAAAAACTCACTGGGGCTAACAGACTGGAGACAACTGAAAAAAAGTTATTGAACTTGAATACACATGGATAGAAATTAAGTTTCCCAGAGAGAAAAAATGAATCAGTCTAATACATGTATAAGCTGTCTAGTACATGTATAATTGGAGTTCCAGTGAGAAAGTAAACAGAATGCAGCCAAGTATATTAGTTCAAGTAGTAATGGTGGAAAACTTCTAAAATTTTAAGAAAAATATCAAGTTGGATAAATAAAAAGAACCATACTTAGGCATGTAATAGTCAAAATATTGAAAACTAATGATAAAGAGCAAGTCTTACAGTCAGGAAAAAGCCATTTCACAGGTGACTGACACCTTTACTAAAGGGGGGGAGCTAACTTTAGATTGAATAGAGTGACACTATGTAAAAACTTGGATTTGCAGGAAGTAACCAGGAGTACCAGGAATGGCAAATGTGTGTGTAAATTCAAAAGACTTTTTTATTCCTTTAAATTTCTTTGAAAGACTATTTATGTACATTAAAAAAAAACCTTTGTATTATATGGTTTATTTATATATGTAGATGTTCTTAGGACAACAGCACTAAGTGAAAATAGGATTTTACAGTTATAGGGTTTTTATTATTTATATGAAATGATAGAATATTAACTCTAATGTAGATTCTGTTAAGGTTGTATATTGAAATAATCGCCAAAAAAAAAAAAAAGATACAACGAAGTATAGTTAAATGTGAAAAATGTGAATAGAAAGTTGGAGGACTGATTTTCTATTTTCAAACGTTATTATAAAGCTGAGTAGTCAAAACAATGTCACGTTGGCATAAAGAAGATAAATAGAACAGAATAGAATCCAGAAATAAACCTATGTAATTATGGACAGTTAGTTTTTGACTAAGGTAGCCATATGTTTAAACAAAACAAAACAAAAAAACAAAGTTGGATCTATATCTCATACCATAGTTAAGAATTAGCTCTAAGAGGGCCATACATGATGTAAATAAAATCTAAAATTATAAAGCTTCTAGAAGACATAGTAGAAAATCTTTATGACTTTGGGTTAGGACCCTAAAAGTGTAATCTATAAAAGAACAAATGGGACTTTGTGAGTTTTTAAAATTTAAAGTATTTCGAAAGACATTGATAGTAGAATGAAAAAATAAGCCATAGAATATCTGAACATCTTTTTGAAGCATATAACTGATAAAGAACTTTGATCCAGGGTATATATAAATTTGGACTGTATAAGCTCTAAAACTCTAAACAATCCAATGTAATAAATTGGCAAAAGTACTTGATAGTTCAGCAAAAACATATGGCAAATAAGCACATGAAAAAGATGCTCAAGTATTAATCATTAGAGAAATGTAGGTTAAAACTTAAGTGAGGTAACATTACCCCTTAATACAATGCTAAAATTTAAAAGATTGAAAAGATTTAAAAGTATTGGAAAGGATGTGGATGAACCATAGCTCATATACTGTTGGAAATGTAAACTTGTAGAACTACTTGGGCAAATAATCAGGCCATTTCTTAAAATTTAAACATCTATGAAATGATCCAGCTGTTTGTCTCTTAGGCATTTATGCATGAGAAATGAAGGCATATGTTCACTTTAAAAAAAACTAAAAAACTAAGATGAATGTTCATAGTAGCTTTTTTTGTAATACCCAAAGCCTAAAACAATCTAGATGTCCACTGGCAGCTGAATAGATAAATAGATTGTAGTTTTGGCATTGTATTCCATTGTATATCATGAAATACCACTCAGTCCTAGAGAATAATCTATTTTCCGCCCAACGTGGGGCTTGAACTCATGACCTCAGGATCAAGAAGAGTCTCATGCTCTACCAAATGAGCCAGCCAGACTCGCCTAGAGTGAGCTACTGATATATGTGGTAGGAGGGATAAATCTCCAAATAATTGTGCTATGTGAAAGAAGTGGGAAAAAGGAGTATGATTCCATTTATAAAGAATGCAAGGAAATGCAAACTAAAGCAGTTTGGATTTGGGTGTGGGGAAGTGCAAGGGGGACATGGTTGCGAAGAGTAAAAGGAAATTTGGGGGTGAGGGATATGTATACTTTTAGTATTTCTTAGAGAAGATTTCATGGATGTGTGCATATATCAAAACTTGTCAAATTGTATGTCTTAAATATATGCAGCTTATTGTATGTGAATAAACCTCAAAAGGGCTCTTTAAAAAGAAAAAGCCCATAGACAGTTT